AGGTCTTAGCCTGGGGACCAGGGGGGAGTACACTCTTGCGCACGAGGAGCATGAGTCATACTCCGCCTGTTGGCAGCTGTTCCCCAAAACCGTTATATAATTACAAGATAATGAGATTCATCAAGAAGAAAAAACCGCGAGATCCGCGGAAAAAACCGCGGGATCCGCGACACAGCTGCAAACTGATGACTATCCTTTCTGACTTGAAAGGATATTCAAGTTTTCAATATTGAGATCTTCACGTGAAAATTCGTTCGGTTCTTCTATACCGAGTGACATGAAACTCAATTTTTTCCGAATTATCCTTGAATAAAACACATTTCTTTACACTACCGTGAAAAAGTCTTCAGTTATCGATCGAACGGTCAGGTTGATTCCACGATGTTATACTTCAATATCTTATATGCACTTGTCGGATAAAAAAATTGGGTAGGTGATACATTCCTGCAGATTACTGTTGAGGGGAAGTGAATCAACTGCGTATATACATGTATTGCATTTTATTGTATTTGTGTTGCCTCTCTGAACACTGAGCTTAAGGCCATTCAGTTGAAACCGTTGTGGCTGGACTTGCTAGTTATGGTGGGAACACCCCGGACAGTCTGGCCACATTGACTAGTGGAATGAATCCCAATATCTAATATATTATATCATATCTAACATCAGCCAGGACGTGACAAGGCATAATTTTCTGGCGGAGTCTGTCCACTTCCATCCTGCACCACTTCCATGTGCACGTTGCATCTATAGTTACTTCTCGACTTTTTCTATTCTTCTGTGTGTCAGAGGCCGGTAGAAAATCGCGTTTCGCAAAAGTGTTAGGTACCCCGGCGTCCACTTCGTCACGCCTCGCGCACAAGCACTGGGTCATCAAGTACAGTTCCCTTCATGAATTCCTCCGTGGAGTATTCGAACCGATAGCGGCAAAAGGGTGGATGGATCGGTGCAACGCCCACGACTAGTGTAAATTGCGCAAAATACACAGACGCGCGCTGCTGACAGTGACACGCACATATAGGACCACATCTTATGAGGGGCTGTGCGTCGCGGCCGGAGTCCTCCCTGTGAGGCTCCTAGTAGAGGAGCGAGCAGCGCACTATGAAGTAAGAGTAGGGCAGTTAGCTTGGATGAACGGTGTTCAAATCGATCCAAGAGACCCACGTCAGGACGCCGCGGGCGAGTCGATCGACCCCGTCGATGACGTTAAAACAGAGGTTCGAAAACTCTGGAAACTCGAAAACGCGACAACCGGTAGGATGGTTTTTGCTTGCTTCCCCGACACGCTTAAGCTACTGAATGCCAAGTGGGCCAGATGTGGCCACTGGATCTCGCAAGTGTTGACGGGGCCAACTCCTCTCATTCCTTATGAAGCGGGGCCTTGTCAGGTCGTTGTAATGCGACTGTGGGCATTCAGAGGACACAGTCGAGCACTTTCTATTGCCCGCCGGAGTGCATAGATAGGACATTTTTCCCGGCCCTTTCCTTCCTGGTGGTGGTGGGAGAGTAGATTGATTTCACCTACGTTGTAAACTATAGCCCTTAGGGTTGTTTCATTGAATATATCGAGTGTCAGGGTCCGGTTATTACGTTGACCCAACTCCTTAGGGTTGTACGGTCTAGCCGTAATCGCGTCCCGTTCACGGATTATAAGGGTTCTTTGTACATCGTTTTAGTATGCTTAAGTCCTTGCAACTACTTTAGCTGCTGGTGAGATGATTCAGTGCCCACTCATGAAGGTGTATCTTGGTTAGGCGGGATGTCCACGCGAATAGCC